TTTTAGCATTGGTTACTAGAAACCTGAGAGCCAAAATTGGGGCCCACCATAGCAAGCGTAGATTAATATGCCTTGCTTTTTTTTTTTTTTTTTTTTGTTCTCGGCTCTACTTTATCCTCACGCTTTCTTTGTACTGCTTTTGTACTACTTTAAATTTGTGCTAGCTTGTTGTATTTTATATATAAATAAAATGAATATTGAAAATGACCCATCCTCCCCAAAGTCCTACGAGATCTCCACGCCCTACCTCCATTTTTATATTTATAGACACCACTACACTTCTGATTTGTGGGACACAGGGCTTTTTATCCTGCTGAAACTTCAGAAAGAGAAAAGTTAATAACTTTTTCTCATGATCTCATTTTATTATTAGGTTTGAGATGCTTGATGCTGCAAAGAACAAGGTCCGGGTGAAGATCTGCTATGTCATGATTGCCCTGACGGTGGCAGGATGCATCTTGATGGTTATTGAGGGCAAGAAGGTGAGAGTGGGTTTCCTCCATGAGGGACCTGAAGGAAAGAAGGGACCTCATATTTACTCTCTGAGAAGAGGAGGCTACTTTCTACATGAGAAATGAAAAGAAACAAAAGAAGACATTATAGGGACAAACCTGGGATATAATGTTTGGGGATAAATAGGAAAACCTAATTTTGGCATGGTGAAGGACTAAATTAGTTTTGCTTAAAGTAAAAAAAGTGTTTATTATCACAGATGTCAAATAATGTGAAAGAAATATGACACTGGCATATTTAGTAACCCTTGGCATGTTTATCAAGTGCTCTTTGTACATGGGTATTTATCTTCATTATAACTGCCTTAATCATGGTGAGCATTCTTATCACACTTCTTTATTTGAAGCTCAGCCAAACTAGGCCATGTCTAGGGACCATAGCTCCTAAGCAGTACATAGGAATGCAAGTCCAGAAATTTTTGTTTTAACACAGGTTATAATGAATAGCTATCACTAATTGAACATTCACTGCATTCTAGATACTTTGCCAGCTGTTGTCTTATTTGAACTTCACAACAGCACTGTAAAATAGGTATTATTAGGACCTCACTTACAGATGAACAAACTATAGCTTAAAAGGCTTTAGTAACTTGCACAATGCCACACATCTCCCTGATGACAGAGCCACAATTTGAAGATAGACCTAATTTTACTATAGAAGTAATGGTAAAACTGCTCCCATTTATTGAGTGCTTATTTTATAGCAGTTAATGTTAAAACTCATTTAATCACCACAATAACCCTAAGAATCTCTTATTACCATGTTTTATAAAGGAGGAACCTGAAGCTTAGACATGTTAAATAATTATCCCAAATTCACATAGCTAATAAGTGGTGAGATAAAAATTTAGACACAAGTTTGTGGGTCACCAAACCTCATACTGTACTATCTTGTCATTAAGATACAGTTATTTTTATATTCAGCAGCACTGGTCAAACCCTTCTTTTAGTATGATGTCTAATTCTATATATCACAGCATCCATGTGGAAAGAGGTGTTTTATAACTATTATCAGCTATTAAAAAGGTTCTGTGCACCCACTTTAACTGACTGCCTTATCTCCGATATCTCCAGAGTAAAAGGAAATGAACTTTTCCTTCTCTTTCGGGTCTTGCAGTTAAATGGAAATATTGACCACTTTAGGCTGACCTCATGGGAGTACAAAGGGGCAAGTGTGCTGACCTGGGTGAAGTTCTCTTGAAAACTCTGATTCTGTCCCATTTCAGTTTTCCTTCTATTTCCCTCTTTGACCTCTCATGCATAGTTCTCAGACTAAACCGTGCAGAAGCATGTGGACAAGACATATGGGTTCCTCAAATTCTGGGAAATCTGCATTGCTTTTGTGTATACTTGATTAAACTAGCTGAGTTTATATGCTCCAGAAGCAAATTATTCCCCTGGGATCTCATCTAGCATCATCCAAGGGCATATGCCATATACTTTAAAGAGTTCCTCTCCTGTTTTATGCCATAAAACTATAACATTTATTTTTATATAATTTCCATTTCCAAGAAGTCGGTAAATGCTACTGGAATGGAGAACTTGTGAACTTTTTCTAAATGTGATTTAGAAGAGAGAAATTTGCGATTGTATGTTTTGTCCTCGCCATCAACTTCCCATTCCCATTCCCCCCCTCCCATACCTAATTCTTTACATGTGGAATTATACAGTTATAAGAAAATGTCAGCTTACAGGGTGCTAGTTTCATTTATTTGGTATAAAAATTTTCAAACTAGTCTGTTTATGTAAGCTCCATAGAAACATAACAGTTCACATGCAGGGAAACGAGATTGGTTGCCTCCCCCACTGCTGTTTGCTCTCAGAGGATGGAGTTGTAGGATAGAGACTGCTGGAAGTCATCAACGGTAGTGTTTTGGTTGAGTCTGGGATTCCCAAAGCTGAGTGTTTTCTGTAAAAGAGGAGTGAGGAGCTAGAAGGGTGTGAAAGTGTGCAAACGAGTTGGGGAAGGAGAAATGGTAGCAGCAAAGAAAAGCGAAAGGAGAAAAAAAGGGATAGAAATGGAAATGAGAGGTATTTAAAAGGTGGGGGTGGGGGGAGAAGAGAGGAAAAAGGGAAAAACAAGGGAATAAAGTATAAGGGAAGAAGAGAGGCAAAAGATTTAAAGAAAGGGGCCAGAAAAGAGAAGGGAGAGGTATGGCACTACTCTCTCGTGCTTGAATGGACGGACTGCTGTACTCTAAAACACTAGAGGAAGCAGAAGGCACATGGAAGGGACTGCTCTACCCAGTGTCCAAGCAACAGAGCACTCCAAGCCTTTACTGCCCTAGTCAACCTGCTGTCACAAATGCAAGGTAATGACATCCCTCCAAAACCAGCATAAATAATCACCTACTCAAATTTGTTTCATTTTAGGCTGTCCGAAGAAACGAGACTTTAACAAGCTTGAACTTACAAAAGAAAGCTCGTCTGAGAGAGGAAGCAGCTATGAAGGCCAAAACAGAATAGGAGGGGTATCCATGTTGACTGGATTTTGAAAATCCAGGAATAATGTTCCAGCAACAAGCCTGTTCTATAAAGAATGTGGTATGAGGATCCATTGCACAAAATTGTGGTTTTCACAAACTTATACCATCTCCCTGTTTCTGCTCTAGAAGTACAAATAAATTTTCTTAAAGAATGACTTGTCTTTGTTTTATGGCTTTGATCCAAGTTAAATGCAGCCTCTCAGTTCTTTGGGGAAAATTAAAGAATGAAAAATGAGACAAATTATTTCAACTTTAACTCTTCTCTGCTGGACTGTTAGCTCAGTTGGTTAGAGCATGGTGTTGATAACACCAAGGTCCAGGGTTCAATCCCTGTGCTGGCCAGCTGCCAAAAATAAATAAATAAATAAATATTAACTCTTTAGGGAATCAGGTATCATATCTTGCTTTCATTCCCATTACCAAAGTGACTTCTGTCCAGAGGCCAAAATATGGTCTTTAGTTCTTTCTCTCTCTCTCTTTTGTACTTATTTCTGAAGAGATAAGGAAGACCAGCTGAGTACATTGCCCAGGTGCAACTCGGAGAGCCAGTCTTCCCAAATGCCATGGTGTTTTGGGGGAAGCAGGCTCCCAAAAGAGAGAGCCCTGAGAAGCATCCAGACCACACTCTGTATCTTCGGGCACGCTGGGAGACAGAGGCTCTCCTAAAGAGCAGTTTTAGAAAAAGTCCTGAAAGGTGATGAGAGTGATCTGGCCAGGGGTTTCTGAGGACTTAGAAATCCCGGCGTGATGGAGTTGCCTGGGACCAGCATAAGCACCTCATAACTCCTCAGCTTACAATTCCCAATTAGTCCTTTTCCTGCTGCTTGAGAAACTAAATTTCTCTATTACAAACAATCTAATGTTTTCTTATTAGTGTGAAAGATAAGCATTTGTACCTAGTATGTATCTCATTGGCAATTTTGACTTTGGGATACAAAGTTGTCTCATATTTAGGTATGGATGCTGGTTTCTATTTTAAATGTTTCATTTATTCTCACATTCTTCATAAGTATTAATGGATGACAAGTCATTATAGCCATCCCAACATGCTAGTTCTCCTCAGAGTTTATAACATATTAAAAAGTAACATATGAAGCTGTTTGGGAACTTAGTTTAATAAAATACTCGGTAAAATGTAACACTAGTCTACCTGTAGCTTCATAATCTACTTGATGATGTTAATGTCTGTCTATTTTTGAGTAGATAGACCTTAGCTTCTTTTTCATCATATCAAGTTGATTTTTATCACTTGCAAATTTATTATCAAAAAGCACTGTTTCTTGTACATTTTAGAAGATTAGCTTTTCTTGATTATTTTGGGACACTTAAATCAGTATTTTAAATATGGGCAAATTTTAATGTGGTACTTTTAAAAACAAGTAATCTTTCTTCATAGAGCAAGATGACCTTAACTTCTGAAAAGCATTTAAAAATATTGTATCGTGGAGATGATTTACTGTAATAAAAATGTTTCATTAAACTAAAGCTTACAAAAGTTACCATGCACCAAGAATTCATATAATCATTTTTCATTTTGTGTCATTCAGTAACATATATTTAACCTTATGGGTTAAATATAAATTTCTTGGCCAGAATTTCAGACCTGCCACTAACTCATCCTACTTCCCAATATTCTCACATACCAACAGTCATACCCTAGTAGTAACTCTATTATCTTATATTCCTCGGAACTTGTCAAATATTTCAAATGTAATGAGCACTATTACAAGGTCCTATAAAATACAAAAGAAGTAAGAGTTTTACCCTTGTTGCTTTCAGTTAAATTATTGTACTATTTTTTGCTTAATTTCTAGATTTTTTTCATGTTTATCATGACTCCATAGGTAAAACAGGCAGAAATGTTTTCTGGTTTATATGTGGTGTCTTCAAAAAGTTCATGGTAAGATTCCTGTAATCCCTTAATTCCATTTTTCCAAAAACTGTCTGAAGTGCTCTCGTATTTCCTATAAGCTCTGTCTGAATAAAGATGATAATGTAAGGCTATGGTTAGATACTTTTTATTTTTAATCAATGTAATGATAGTTTTGGGAATTTATTACTAAAATTTATCAAAAGCAGGCGAGGAATGAAGTTGTGGTAGTATCATTCACTGTCATTCATCAAACATAATACTTTACAAAAACCAAGAATACAAAGATGAATAAGACATAGTTCCTGATTGCACAGACCTCATAATCTACTGGAAACATACCCATGAAACCATTACAATACAAACTGGTCTATAATATATTTTGAACTTTATAACAGAAGCTATAGAAAGAAGCAGGAAGACCTCACTTGGCTGTTGACTATGTTTGGGGGCAGGCAGGCAGTGGTGGCTCCCTATGTGGTGATTTCTGAACTGAGTCTGAAGCATGGGTAGGAGTTATAGGTCAGACATAGTGAAGGAGAGCAGTCTCACCACTCAGACATTTAGCTTGCCTAGAAGTCAGAAAATGGTACAAAGTGAGGTCCTTTAGTAAAATGCCATTTATAACATTATTTGGGTTTACTTTTAGGTTTTTTCGTGATAAGAAGCAAAAATTTTAGACCCTTTGAATGAACGTAACCATGAATTATTTTTCCCAAATTATAGGCTTGATTCCGTGGACCATGGTTTTATGGCCCATCAGGTTAGGATAAAACCAAAAGTGTGTGGGTGGCATCTGACATGTATCTCCAGTCCTCCACCACCATCCCAGTCTTATGTTTTTGTTCATCTGATCTCCCAAACTTGAAGTCCTGGAGTTATTCCCAACTCCCTTTATCCCCTCATTTAATCAGTTGTCCTGTCTTGTCAACCTTACTTCTAAATATTTCTCAAATACAGTTGGTCCCTATTTTATGATGGTGTGACTTATGACTTTTAGACTTTAGGATAGTGGAAAGCAAAACACATTTAGTACGATCTTCTTCTTACAATGGAGCTACATTCAGATAACCCATTGTAAGTTGAAAATATCACAAGTTAAAAGTATTTTCAACTTATGATGGGTTTATCAGGATGTAACCCATTGTAAGTCAAGGGGCATCTGTACACAGATCCTCTAGGATAGTCACTGAGAGGAACAAAATGGCAAACTGCCCAGGAATAGACACATGAGATTAAAAACAGGCCTGAAGATTAGAAGTCAGAAGCCCTAGACTTGCTTTTCTGTCATTTTTAAAATGTAGATTATAAGTCTCAAAATCTTATAACTAAAGACAATTTTAAAAAGAAATAAAAAAAACATGCCGAAATTGAGAGACCATCTTTTGATTTCCAAAAGGATTAGCTGTTACTCATCCACAGTTTAACTGTTTTGTCATTTTCTAATGCAGCTGATGCAATGATGTTTTCCGTGGGATGACAAGCTGCTGAGATCACGACATCTGTATGACCTTGTAATTTCTGTACAATCTCTTTAGTCTGAAGGTTCCAGATGTAAACCAGGTTATCCTCTGAACCAGACACAATCCACTTTCCACCAGTAACTGAAAAATTGGCAAATATGCAGTATTTCTCATTCTTGTGTCCAGTGTATGTCTTCAGGCATCTGCCTCTGCTATAATCCCACAGTTTAAGAGTATTGTCCAAAGTTGCAATGAGAATATATTTACCATTTGGAGAAAACTTTACAAAAGAGACAGGAAGGTTATCACCATCAATAAGCGTTTTTAAACACTGGCCTGATGCAGCATCCCAGATTCTACAGAGACCATCATAGCTACCTGACACTATCAAGGACCCACTACAATTAAAATGAACAGCAGAAACTGGGTCAGAATGAGCAGATAAAGTCTTGAGGCATTTTCCTGTTTTCACCTCCCATATTTTCACACTCTCATCAAAAGATCCCGAAATGATGAGGGTGGATGGCGGATTGAAATTACAGCAAAAGACATAATTACTGTGCCCCTTCAGTGTTTTTAAACATTTTCCAGATCTCACATCCCATATCTTTAGAGTTTTATCATCTGAAGCAGAAACAAGATGACTGGAATCTGATGACCAAGCAACATCTGATATTTCCAGACTGTGGCCACATAGTGTTCTCTCATGCTTTCCATCATATGCTCCCCAAATTATAATTAGTTTATCAGCAGAAGAACTTGCTAGCCACTCTCCATTAGGACTAAACTTAACTGATGATACTGCTTCCGTATGTCCCACGAGAGTAAACTTGAGAGCATAGTTTGGTTTTTCAAGCACTTCCTTGCTCCGATTGGCTGATGAGAGGGCAGACTGTGCTGTCGCACTTCCTGACTCCTCTGTTGCCATGGCTCTGAAGCTCCAAGTCAGCAGGAGGGTGGCTAGGCGTCCGGCCCTGAACCAGGCAGTCCAGTATTTTGGGTTTCTACCCAGTAAAATGAAGACAAGAACATCGGATTCAAAAATATATGGATTTGGGGGGGTAGAGCTCGGTGTTATAATAACAAGGTCAAGGATTTGGATCACTATACCGGCCAGCCGCAAATAAGTAAGTAAATAAATACATGGTTGTTAATGATTATAATTTGAGTCGTCTTTAAATTCTGATATATACTAAATCAGCAGCACGGCTTGGGCCACTTCAGTTTTTCCTTTTTCCTTTATTAAAGACTTGAGAAATATTATTAAAAGGGTCCCATGCTCTGTCGGCAAGTAAGGTACCAAAGTTGAGTACTAATGTCAAAGCCGTCCAAAGCGGGGGCGGAGCTAGCGGGATCTCTACCAACTTTTCACCGCCCCTCCCCTCAGCTCCGAAAGGGGTGAGAACACTGAGCAACCCTACCAGTCAGACGGACTAGGTACTTGCGGATGAACGACCCACCGCTTCAATCGGAAAAATTCAGATGCTAAAAGAAAACGCACGTTGCCGCTGGAACCGGAGACCCGGGCTCTGCAGACGCCAACGCAACCAACCGGGAAGAGCAGCAGAACGCATGTGCAAAGGAAGTGTCCTCCCACCACCCCCACTTCCGAGCCAAGCTGGCCAATAGGGGGCACCTGCCAGCGCCTGCGCAAATAGAAGCGCCGGGTCTCCTTTCGTTCCTCTCCGCTCCCGCGCTCCCAACAAACCAAGCTGCTTCGTTGGGTGACTGGGAAGCTGAACAACGTTTGTCCAATACCACACTGGCTGGTGTGGGAAGCAGTGGGTCTTTATTTCAAAGCGCATTCATTTCTTTCTGGAAACCTCCACGTGAATTTGCCCGTGCCACTTAGTCTCAGGCTTAGGCCCAGGTGTAGCACGTCAGCCGCCCAAACTGCACGCATTTGGGAAATGCAGCTGACATCGACCCACCGTGACGCCGGTGACTCCGTGTAGCTTCTGCTCCGCAGGTGGCTTTGGTTCTACTCCCTTCTGTTTGTTGGGGTGAAGACTCTGGTGATGTTAGGGCCTACTTGTTCAGTGTGGCGATGTGCAGGCAAGGGGGGTGAGAGCGTGGCCGAATTTATGTCCAGATAATAAGGCTCCTGGTTTAAAAGTTTTTCCTGCAAACGTTTGGAAAGGATAAAGAACATGTTGTTAGGGGCCTTTAAAATTCAGGGCTATACTGGGAGAAAGGAGCAAATGTTTGCTTTAGCACTTATGGTTTAAGCTTCTAGTTTGAAATTGACAGGAACTGGACAAATACTTTAGTCTTAGCTAGTACAAATTAACGTTATGAACAGTGAGGAGATGCTGGGAATGGGAAGAGCATCTTTAAAATAGTTTGGAGTGTCCATTTATATATTAAATTACGACTGTTCTTAGCCTTTTTTTTTTTTTTGACCGGTAAGGGGATCGCAACCCTCAGCAGGGTGCCACGCTCAGCCAGCGAGCGCACCGCCATCCCTATATAGGATCCCAACCTGCAGCTTCGGCGCTATCAGCACCGCACTCTCCCGAGTGAGCCACGGGCAGGGCCGGCCCCATTAGCTTTTTATTTTTTAAGGCAAGGTCTCCATGGACCTCCCCTCTGACATCTTTGCTGGGAAGCTTAGAAACTCTAAATTCTGCATCAATTGAAACTATTTCCATTTTTATCAAACCATTAAAAGGTAAACTTAAAAGCATCTTGGAGAACAAAGTTTAGGCTTTGTTTTGAAAATTTTAAACAAATCTGCATTTTTCCGATAATGTTGTATGCACTACGAGAGTAAAGAAAGAGGAAATTAGATAAGGTGAACACTTAATATGAGGGCTAGGTTGGGTTGTTGGTGCTGAAGTATGTTTAGTCCATGACAAATACCACAGTTAAGAATGTTGATAGGAATATCCAGAAATTTCCAGTAATAATATCCACTTCTTGATGCTTGGGATTTTTTTTTTTTTTTTTTTTTTTTTTTTACAAGTAACATCAAGATCTCACTCATGTAAAGAACATCAGGGCTATGAATTAGTTAACTCTTGTTTATTCATTAATCATGTTCTAATATTAACATGTAGTCCTAATGAATGAGGACTAAGGATTTCATAGTTTACTCCCACCGGGGGTCGAGGTGGGGGCAGGACATCAACAATTGTGGAGCATGTAAGAGCAGGGGTAAATACAGGTAAATCCAAAGTGGCAGAAACCATAATTAGAAATTTGCTTGTTTGGTTCCCACAAAAAATTTCTTACACAGCCTCCCTTTTAACAATTTCTATTTTTGCTCCTGTATTCACTAGATAGGTTATTTAGAAGTTTTTCTCCCTGTAGAAATCAACTAGGAATCTTTAAATTTCTCACAAGTCTTAGAATTCAACGTCTCTCATCTATAGTCAAAAGGTTTATTCCTCTTGCCCCTCAGTAAAGTTTGCAAATATTCTAAATAGAAATGTTGCCACAAGGGCCGGCCTGGTGGCGCACTGGAGTGCGCGCCGCTTGGGAGTGCGGCGGTGCTCCCACCGAGGGTTCGGATCCCATGTGGAGACCGGTTCCCGCTCACTGGCTGAGCGCGGTGCGGGCGCAATCCCAAGGGTTGCGATCCCGTTGCCGGTCCCCGGTACGGGCACAACACCGAGGGTTGCGATCCCGTTACCGGTCAGTAAAAAAGACAAAAAGGAAAAAACAAAAATGTTGCCACAAATGAGGCTTTTTTTTAATTTAAAAAAAATTTTTTGTTGGTGTGTGCACCCGACCTAACTATGGTCCGGGAGTGATTCCTACATTAAGGAATGTCTTAACTTCCTTTAGCAACTCTTGACTACCAAATTCAGTCCTCAGAATCAAGCATAATAGAACTATGTGCATACCCAGTGCTGTAGATTGGATGCTCATTGAAGTTTAAATCTCCACTGTAACTGTTGAGGGTGAGAAATCTTATTATGGTAATTGAAAGGTAGGGCCTTGAAGAGGTGGTTAGATTGTTAGGACCACGCCTTAGTTGATGGATTAATAATAGTGGTCAGGGGTGTGGTTCTGAGGGCTTTGAAAGAAGAGAACGTGAGCGTTTCTCTCTCTGCTCTGCCATTTTCTGCCATGTGAGACCCCTGCATTGCTATAAAGCCACCACTAAAGAAGACCCTCACCAGATATGTTCTCTGGACTATGGACTTCCCAGCCTCTGAAACTGTAAGCAATAAATTTCATTTTCTTATAATCACTCAGTTCCAGGTATTTTGTTATAAGCAACAGAAACAGACTAATAAACCCAGTTGCTTAAGACCACTAGCAAATGTATGAAAACCTAGTTGGACTAAATATGTGGCCGCATAATATCCAAACTGGGACATCTTTAAAAGTGAAAAGAGGCACTAAAATAATTGACAGGTGTTAGTTGATCTATAAACCGGGACTGCCCCCAGCAAACCAGTGCAGTCATGGATGATTTATTGAGGGTACTCTCCTCAGAATCATAACTTAATCTTAGAAAATTCCACTCTTTATATGGTAGTTTACACCTCAGCCTTCCCAGGTATCTCTTAAATCTCTGCTGTGGTCTTTTGGGTTTCTATTTTCTCCTTACCCATCACCTTAATAATGCACAGCCCAAGTGGTAGATGAAGCAGTGATCCTTATTGTGGACCCCACTGGAATCCACTGGCTTCCTCCAGTTTAGTGGGTATGATAAAAGAAATTTAGAGTAATTTTTTGCAAAAACATTCACAATCACAGAAATGGCCATATATTGTTTCAAGTTAGCAAAAACAATGACTTTTTCAAAAATGTAACTGAAATAGGGGTAACAGTCATCTAAGCTAGCCTAATAATCTTGTAAACGCAGCAATTATGTACTACCGATCAAACAGTATATAGTCTGCAGGAACTAAGGCTGTTTTACTTTAAAATTTTGTTTTGTTTTCAGAAAAAAATACTTAGCCAGTGGAATCTCTCCAAAAAAAAAAAAGAAGAGCAGTCATGGAATGATGGAATGAGGAAATACAGACATCTTTCTGTTTCTATTCTGTCACTAAAATAGGAGGACTAGATAAAGAAAATGTTCTCATGCAATACATACAATACCTAAAAGTGAAAAATCCCTGCCTCACAGCCTAAGGCAACCACCAGCTTCCACACTGGTTGGATATAAATGACAAAATTTTTTCTTAACTTTAAAATATGCCAGAATAGGAGCTGACCAGTTAGCTCACTTGGGAGAACATGGTGCTGATAACAGCAAGGTCAAGGGTTTGGATTCCCATACCTGCCAACAGCACCACCACCCCTCAAAAAAAAAAAAGCCAGAATAGATCGATAGGTACTTTTGGTATTATAAGCACATAGGGCATTATATATGTATTAGTTAGCCTACACAATATACCCATCAACTTTTCTCAGGAGACAATTTTTTTTTTTTTAAACAGACCTGGGCTATGACAATGTTTGCTTTTGTAAATTCAGGTCCAATTATGTCTCCTGAAAGATAACTATATATAAAACAGTCAGATGTTGAGACAGAGACACTTGCTTGAGTTGTTAATCATGGTTTCAAACAACAGCATAAAGGAATTCCTTTGAATTTTCTTTTGTAATCAAGTACCTTTCACCAATATCACATAGATCCATATTCCTTCATTCATTTTGTGTTTATTGAATGTCTACCATGTGCAAGGCACTCACCCGTGGCCTGACAGACCGCATTCAAATACAAAGAATCATTAGAGCCATTTCAAATCAAAGTGTCAGAACACTTTGAAAAAGGACATAAAGTGGTCAAAATGATTTCAGGTAAGCAGAAATAGTCAACAACCAATACATTAAAAGGCAATTTTAATTTTTTACACTCATTGGAGCAATACTTCTTTAGGAAGTAGGCTGTTAAATTCACGTCCATGGCACTGCTTTCTAAGGCAGTAAGTAATTCTTCATTCCAAAGCCTTTCTTTCTCTGTCAATACCTTCTACATTTGAGTTTGAATGGGAACATGTTTCTATGAGCTTAACCATTGATACTAAACTCAATCATTTGCATATTAATTTTTTTCAACTTCTGTTGTTGTACTTCTCTGGTTATACAGAATTTTAGCACCACAGAAGGGAGAAAGATGGTTGGGCTGAGAGGGCCTACACACCAGACTATGTAACCTAAAAGAAATTTATACCTGATTCAATCATTTTCAGGGTGCTGATGATGAAAAGTCAGGAACAATGGTCTAACAAAAAGGGCTGGTTCAGCTGTGGCTCCTGAAAGTCTAGCTCTGGGAGTTCCTGGGCACAGAAGACTATCATGTGACCACTGCTCTCTTCAAGACACAGAACTTGCAGAGCTCTTCCCCTCCCTTGGACAGCCAGTATCTAAGGGTTGTGACCTTGGGGCAAAGTCATTATAGTGATAATTTTCCACCTTAAGGATTAAGTGAGAAAACAGGAAAGCCCTTAGCCAGGTACCTGGCACACAACAGAGGCTCAAATAAAGACAAGTTGCCTTTATTTGACTTATAGGAAAACATGCTGGGAATTTTGTTTATCCTTAGTTGAAAACAGAATGGAACTTCATCTACCCTTAATTCTTTCTTCTTATCTCAAGCTTCCAGATGCATTATATGTCCAGTAGCAATTTGATATTTTTAATTAGTATATAAATATTTGCTTTATCACACATTCTTCTAATACCCTGGTACCCGTTCTTATAACTTGTCTTTTTCTGACAATAAAGCATGTTATGGATGATTCCTTATATTACAGCCAACTTATTGTGCTAGTTACATCTGGCTTTCAATTACTTTAACTTTTTTAAAAAATTAAACTTTTTTCTTGTTCTTCAGGTATCAGAGTATACTTTAACTTTGGTGATAGAAAAAGGTAGCCCAAACTATTTCCCAGCTGGGAAAATATTTAATCTGCTCACTCACAACAAAAGGAGATGGTCCTATTGATATAGGATGGCCAAAATTCATATTTGAGACTTCCATATATAGGCACACCTCTCTCTGCAAATGAGCAAATTTTGGAATGTAGGAGGTAGCATATAGTATTTAATTTTAAAGCAAACAATGACCCTTTCTAAAAGTGGATCCCTTTTCTTTACTGAACATCATCCTTAGACATCACAATACATAAAAAGCCCCAACCTCTAAAACAGCTATAATGACAATTGCCTGTCGATATGAAAATTTTCACAAACTATGAGCAAAAAAGAGAAGAAATCCCTTGACCCACGGAAAACCTTTTCATAATGAAACCCCAAGTTGGGGGATTTAACAGCTGAAATGTTTATTTAGCACTAAAGAAGTAAATTCAAAGTTGCCTGTGGGTAGCCATGTACAATAGAGGATTTAGTTGACAAAGTTTGGTTTATAAAATATACTTAATGTATTTTTTCTCAGGCAAAATCAGCAGCAACTTGGAATAATTCAGATTTATTACGGGACAATTGTCTGTGATTTTCTTTGTAACAGTAATGCTGAAAATGACCCAGAGCCCAATCAGCTTTATCTGGCACATGAAAAACAATCCTAGGGCAATAGTTTTCAAACCCAGTACAACTGACAAGGGTAAGAGCTGAGAGGGGTCTTGATTAATTAGTGACAAGAACATGAAAGAAAGTATCCCAGGAGAACTGAAATCTCTTTTCTTCATATCCATCATCTTTACCTTCCCTGGTTATGTCTCAATCCAACCATATCTATCTGCTGTTCCTTAAGATACCAGATGCTTGCACACCCCAAATTCTCTCAATGCTCTTTTCCCCCACCAAAGTTCTCATTACAGAGAATATACTTTGAAAGTTTGAAGGAAAAAAGAGGAAAAATGAAGCCACTTCCCCCTTGATCATTATACAAAACTGCAAGAGTTTCCCTGTGTTATTAACATGCTTTTGTAATGAGTAACACCTTAGCAATAGGGTATTCAATAAATTGAAACTAAATTAACAGAATCTTTCAGGCAGAGAACCAAAAACAGGATTTGCGATTACCCCTGTAAATGCCATTTCTATTACCAAAAAGTTGCTATATCACTACCAAGTTCCAGCACATGTGAGTTATGCTGGGATTTAACTTTTAGCCAATTCCAACTTTTATACTTAAAAAAAAAAATTACTGTTAAAAAAAAAAACAGTTCAGATCTATGGTTCATGAACTTCCTCTAGAACAGAAGCAAGATAAATTCCTCTGTTTTAGACAGAAAATAGATCACATCAGTTAAATGGACTTTGTTTTAATTCATTCATTGAGACAACTGCAATTGCGAGCAAAAATTCCCAATGTATACTACTCTTACTAACATGGGGAAACAACTTTGTGTGCTTTGTATTTTTTCCATTCAAATTGGTTTATAAAATGAAAAATTTTTAACTATCCAATAGAAGGTACATAATTTAAAACATCCTATAGAATGACGTTTTAAAATTTACAATTTTAAAAAACTCAGCCACAAAAAAAGTCAAAGCTAAAAACAAGATTTTTACTATGAATCAGTGCTTCCATTACTCTTCTGAAAGAAGTTATATTTTAATGTGATGTAAAGGCAACATTGAAAGTTCTTTAAATTAACCACCTAATTTATCCCTAAAATTACAAAGAATCAAAGTCTTTTACAGGTCAAGTGCAGTAAACTAAAATGTTCTCTCAGCACAAAGCAGCACTAGAAAAAGTAACAGTTATAGATGGGAGTTGACTGGTTTTGCAGTGGCTGCTCCATCATAACAGACAGACATCAGACGTATCCATCCAGAGCACAGACACAACTACAGATTAGGTGCGAAGAATGCGTCACTCTCTTGGCTGATAAATGTCCTTTGTCTTTTGAATCATTCTAGTTTGAAGTGGATATTTTAAAAGTTTAAATCAGGTCACATAAGTTGGCTGCTTAAATAACATCACGATGAGGTATGAAAGCTCTGAATATCCCTTATATTCAGCAGGATTTACCAGAGATGTATAATAGCTTATCAGGGGCAACTTCTAAATAGTTTTTACACTTTGGGGTTATAATGAATTCTAGAGGAAGACAAGTCTAAAGAGGTTTAAAAGGTTATGCTCTGAAACAGAAGTGAGCAACTTTTCCTTCAGAATTCATTTTGAACGGCACATCAACAAAAAAATCTTCTCTGACAGTATATCCCAACATCGAGTCAAGATAGCCAACTAGCACCGAGAAGTCGTATTCAACTCATTTGCAGTTTTCTTGGCAATTAAGCTTATTTTTTCGTTCCAGTCCAAGCATAGATATGTATCACTGAACACAGTACTGGAAGCGCCATTTGTAGGTATAGATTGCAGTCATCATTAAATGAGCCAGAAGGTGAACACTTTTTATTTGGGGGGTGGGGGGATAGTACTTGTAGGAGATGAAATGATTAGGGAACAAGAAGTTATAAGGAAAAAAGATCACTGCCCTTATTGGGGTTAAGCAGGTCATGTTGAGAAGGTAGTTATTTTTTAAAGATAATGATGCTACATTAAAGGGATCATATATGCAGCATGAGTACCTTACAATCAAGCTGCACCTAAGGAAAAAAAAATCCCTAAGTTACCTTTAAATGTTTACGTTATCTGCCAGTCACAGAGGGGAAAAGCACCCAGAGTGAACTCCAATTTAATGAGGCCCTTGATCAGGACCATAAAGTCTGAAAAACATTTGTTTTAATGCAGAAACACAGCCTCTAGTCACACTGGTTGAGTTTGGGGAAATCAAACAGTTTTTTGTTTGTTTGACTTACTTTATTGAGTTATGGGATATGTTTTTGATTATTAAGGATTCTAAATCTTCATATCAGCATTAGAACTGAACCACTTCCAAATCCTAACACACATAAGACCAAAGAGAAGCCAAAGCCATACAAATTAATATGTGCTCCTCTCCTTTCTGCTCTAAGGGAATCTGCAAACCAGTATCACATTTAATAATCAAAGTGTTAATTCTTCAGCACTCTTGACAACTAGAAAGCCCATTCACTGAAGGCTGAAGGTGAGGGAGATGGTTTGACTTAAATATCTGAAGAATGGCGCCAATAGAGGAAAGAAAACCATCCAATCTCAGTAAGAATTAATGCAAACTTGGCTAGAAAGAGCCACCAGGTAATCCAAGGGTTCACTGTGGAAGAACTTATGAAAAGTACTCTGAAGTATACACAATAGGACTAAACATCTCTCTTGTTGCAAGTGTAGTTGTGTGAAATTCAAGATAAAGGTTTTTTAGTCTCATCTTTAATGTCAATATTTTTTCCCACTTTAAAGGGAATGAGGAGTCCTCTCTTTTTCCCCCCACAAAAAAGGGAGCCACATTAATATGCATATATTCCCATGACTCTAATGTAAGTGCGCGTCTCCAAAGCCTAGGGATTTTTCCATGAGAGTGGGGCGTTCTGGTTACCCTTTTATTAGAAGGGTATTCCACCACAGAGAGCCAGAGGTTTTCCAGATGTGTGTAAGAGAGCAGGTGCGCAAGGCAAGCAAATGAGCGCAAACAGTATTATGGAAAACATTTGAGAAGTTAGCTCCATGAAGGCTGTGGGCTCCACAAGAGGACTCGACTGGGTAGCCTGGTCTGACACAGGAACATGAAAGCAGAGTATTGCTTCAAAGCTGGAAACCTTCCATAGGAGCCTCACACTGCTGGAAGATGTACTGCTGCTGGCTAAGGTCAACCTGAGGTGCAATGCTGCTGTCCTCATCTTCGGTCCCAAAGTAATGTTCAATAAGATCAAAGGCCTTCTGGTAGATCTCCTGGTTTTCATGACTTTGTAAGAATTCAATTTTATCCAGACCTACAATGAATAATAAAGAAAAAAGTTTACTGGAAATTTCAATAAACTATATTTTGCCATACCTCTCTGTCCTTGATGTAAAGGAAGAGTCTCTACTTATATCTCATAAGTATTTATAATAGCATAGAAGTGATTGCTGGGATTACATCTGAAACCTTGTATTATAAACTGACATCTTAAATACATATCTGCAAACAATATCCAGTTCACAGAAGCAAGAAATTTCCACAACAGTTATCACATCATCCAGTTACTAGCAGTAACATCAGTGTTTTTATTGGACTGTATCTATAGCCTAATTAATTCTTGGCCATAAGCTTCTCCAGTCAAAGCATCTTACCGTAAGCTTCTTCAATCAAAGCACAGTAAGGGTTAATGCCACTGCCGTTCCTTTTAGCTTCTTGTTCTCCAAGCCTCAGGATATTTTCCAAGCCATTTAGGGCAACCTGTACAATCTTGGAGTCCATGACTGTGAGGAGATCACAGAGCGGCTTGATACAACCCAGTTCTACTAAGTACCTAAATACAAAGAACAATTTAATCAAACAAAACTTAATTTCATAAAACCTTTATGAAATTGATGAAATAGTCATCATCCTCAAACTCACTACAGAGATAAAAATAGGCACCCATTCACCCATACGAGCTATACTTTATCACAAAACAAAGCTACAAATAAACTCACCAAAACCAGTTCTCTCCCACCTTCTCCATTCTTTTTTCCCTTCACAATTTATTGACTCCAAAAAATAGAAATTCCCTCTTACACTGAATATAAGCAACTCATCAAAATAGTATAGTTTGATTGACTAACTTAATCTTTGTTTCTACAGGCAGCCAAATCTCTCAAACATGACACACTTGGTGCTAAAAGCCAGCATAAGCCCAATAGGCCAAATCTTTCCAACATGATTAGAATTTTACTAAAATAAGTTGTAAGAAGACTATATGGGAAGAATAAAACACGTGTAAGAAGGACTTGAGCTAGTATTTTTCCTTTTGAATTTAGGTGGAATTTAACATGTAATCAAGATTAATCATAATGGAACTGAAACATGATTATTGCATCATAGTCATAGCATATATTCGTGTAATTTTGTATCATTCTATTTTCTCAACTTGTGTACAGAGAAGCAGAGATAATGAATCCGGGTGCATTCTGTGGATGGGTAATAAGGTCATTTTGGAATTTATGATTAGTGCTAATCTATTTCTCTCTCATGTTTTTTTTTTAATTTCAAAAATGCATAAAAATAAATGTCTACCCAAGCAAATCAAGGAAAAAAAGGACAATTTCTAATATCACTAACAAAAGAGGGTCATTACTACACATCCCAGGTACATTAAAGGGATAATAAAGGAAACACTACAAAAACTTCTTTGACTACAAATTTGATAACTTAGATGATAAAATGGATCAATTTCTTAAAAGACACAAACTATCAAAACTCACACAGGAAAAATGGAAAATCTGAATAGGCCTATATATATATATATATATATATATTTTTTTTTTTTTTTTTTTCTCCCCTTAAAGATGACTGGTAAGGGGATCTCAACCCTTAACTTGGTGTTGTCAGCACCACGCTCAGCCAGTGAGCAAACCAGCTATCCCTGTATGGGATCCGAACCCGGGGCCTTGGTGTTATCAGCACCATAGTCTCCCAAGTGAGCCACGGGCCGGCCCTGAATAGGCCTATATATTAAAGAAACTAAAGTGAAATAAGCCAGGCACAGAGAGAGAAATGCTGCATGTCCTCACTCATAAGTGGGAGCTAATAAATAAATGAAAAGAAAGAAGGAAAGAAACAAACAATCACAATAATATATTGAACTTTCAAAAAAAAGAACTGTACTTATTAGAGGTGAGAAAAGGGGAGGGAGAAGAGGATTGGCAAGAAATTGGTTAAAGGTCACAAAGACTGATTACGTTTTCTAATTATCCTGATTTGATCACCACATATTGTACACAGCTACTGATTTTTTTTTTACAGGTACTGATATTCAAATCTGTACCCCTCAAATATGTATAACAATTATGTTTCAATAAAAAAAGTAAAAAAAATTTAAGAAATTTTTAAACGACAAAAAAATCAATAACTTTCTAAAATAGCACCAAGAGGAGATGGTTTCACTGGTGAATTCTATCACACATTTAAGTACAAAATTATACCAGTCATTCTACAATCTCTTCCAGAAAACAGAAACAGAACAAGCCCAGCTCATTCAATGATGCCAGCATTTCCCTAAAACCAAAACTAAAGACATTACAAGAAAGGAAAGTTGCACACCAATATCTCTCATGAACACAGACGCAGAAATCCTCAACAAAATATTATCAAATCAAATCCAACAATGTATAAAAAGAATTATACACCAAGTGGGATTTATTTCAGGTATGCAAGGCTGATCCAACATTTAAAAAAAAATCAATTTAATCTATCACATCAACATATGATCATTTCAATAGATGCGAAAAAGCATTTCCAACAAAATCCAATACCCATTCATGATCAAACCTCTCAGCAAACATTTGAGAAAACTTCCTTAACTTGATAAAGAACCTCACTGAAATACATACAGCTAACATCATACCTGATGAGAAAGATCAGGAACAAGGCAAGGATGTACTCTCTCACCACTCCTATTCAACACTGCACTGGGAATCCTAGCTAATATGATAAGGAAAGGAAGTAAAAAGTATACAGATTGGGAACAAAGAAATAAAACTATTTTCAGATGACATCTTTAGGTAGAAAACCCCAAAGAATTGACCAAAAAACCACTCCTGGACTATTAAGAAACTATAGCAAGGTTGTATGATACACGGTTAATACACAAAATTCAACTGCTTGCCTGTATACCAATAATGAACAATTACAACTTGAAATTAAAAACACAATATCATTTACATTAGCATAAAAAAGTATAAATCTAACAAAATATGTACAAAATGTGTACAAAACTACAAAACTCTGATGAGAGAAATAAAAAAAAGATCTAAAATAAGAAAAATATACCTTATTCATGGACGGGAAGACAATATTGTTAAAATGTCAATCCTTCTCAACTTGACCTATCAAATTAATGTGATAATCCCATCAAAATCCCAGCAAGTTATTTTATGGATACCAAAAAACTGATTCTAGAGTTTCTATGTTAAGGAAAAGACCCAGAATAGCCAACACAATACTGAAAAATAACAAAGTCAGGCCTGACATTACCTGATTTCAAGACTTACTATAAAGCTACAATAATCCAGACAGTGTGGTACTGGCAGAAGAATAAACAAATAGATCAACGGAACAGAACAGAGTCCAGAAACATACCACACAAATACAGTCAACTAAATGACTGCAAAGGCAATTTAATGGAGAAAGTATTTTCTTTTCCACAAACAGTGCTGAAACAACTGAGCATCCATGTACAGCCATGTGTTGCTTAGTAATGGGAATGCATTCTGAGAGATGAATAGTTAGGAGACTTGGTCCTTATGCCAAATGCTATAGAGTATGCTTACATAAACCTAGACAGTATAGTCTACTACACACTTAGGTTATATGGTATAGCCTATTATTCCAGGCTACAATCCTAAAACATGTCACTGTACTGAATACTGTAGGCAACTGTAACTCTATGGTGAATGTTTGCATATAGATAAAATAAAATAAGGTATGAAAGATAAAAAATGTACACCTATACAGGGCATTTACCATGAATGAAGCCTGCAGGACAGAAAGTTGCTCTGGGTGAGTCAGTGAGTGAGGGGTAAGTGAATGTGAAGGCCTAGGACATTATGTACACTACCGTAGACTTTATGAACACTGTACACTGAGGAGACATGAAATTTATTAAAAAATATTTTTCTTTCTTCAATAATAAATTAACCTTAGCTTAGTGTAACTTTTTTACTCTATAAACTTTCAAAATTTTTTTAACTTTTTGATTCTTGTAATAACACTTAGCTTAAAACACACACACACTGCACAGCTGTACAAAAAATTTTTTTTACATTCTGATCTGTAAACTTTTTTCTATTTTTAATTTTTAATTTTTTACTTTTTAAACTTTTTTATTAAAAACTAAGACACAAACACACATATTGGTCTAGCCTACATAGGGTTAGGATCACCAATATCACTATCTTCCACTTCCACATCTGTCCCATTGGAAGGTCTTCGGGGGCAATAACACACATGGAGCTGTCATCTCCTATGGCAATAATGCCTCCTTCTGGAATACCTCCTGAAGGACCTGCCTGAGGCTGTTTTACAGCTAACTTTTATTTATAAGTAGGAGTATACTCTAAAGTAATGATAAAATGTATAGTACAATAATATATAAATAATACGTAAACCAGTAATACAGACATTTATTATCAAGTATTATATACTATACATAATTCTAAGTGCTATACTTTTATAAGCCTGGCAGCATACTAGGTTTGTTTTTACCAGCATCATCACAAACACAAGTAATGCATTGCACTATGATATTACGATAACTACAACATCACTAGGCAACAGAAATTTTTCTGTTCCATTATAATCTTATGAGGCCACCATCTTATGGGGCCCATTGCTGACTGAAACACTATTATGTGACACATGGCTGTACAAAAATAACGAACCTAGACACAGACTTTACACCTGTCACAAAAATTAACTCAAAATGAATCATATAGATCTAAATGTAAAATGCAAACCTACAAAATCCCTAGAAGATAACATAGGAATAAATACAGGTAACTTTTGGTTTGGCAATGAGTTTTTAGATAAGTATCAAAAGCACAATCCATGAAAAGAAAAAACTGGTAATTTGGACTTTATTAAAATTAAAAACTTCTGTTCTGTGAAGGACACTCTTATGAGAATAAAAAGACAAGCCATGGACTGGCAGAAAATATGGGCAAAACATTTATGTGATAAAAGACTGGTCTCCAAAATATACAAAGAACTCTTAAAACTCAACAATAAGAAAATTAAAAACCTGAAGAGAAAATGGACAAAAGATCTGAACAAAAACCTCACCAAAGTAGATACACAGATGGCACATGTTTTCATTCTCAACTGATGTGAGTGCAAAATGGGATAACAACTTTGGAAGACAACTTGGCAGTTTCTTAACAAATGTAAACAACGTCCTTCCTTACAATCCAGCAATCACACTCATAGACATTTACCCAACTGAAATGAAAACTATGTCCACACAAAAACCTAAACACAGGGGCCGGCCTGGTGGCGCACTGCTATAGTGCGCCGCTTGGGAAGCGTGGTGGCGCTCCCGCCGAGGGTTCGGATCCCACATGCAGGCCGGCCGCTCACTGGCTGAGTGAGGGGCGGGAGCAGCGCCGAGGGTTGCGATCCCGTGGCCGGGCCCAGTCCGGTGCGGGCGCGACACTGAGGGTTGCGCCCCGTTGCCCGTCACGAAAAAAGACAAAAAAAAAAAAAACCTAAACACAGATGTTATTATAGTGGCTTTATTCATAATTGCCAAAAACAAAAAACCTAAACACAGAT